CGTAGAACTTCCCGAACTCCACGCGATCCACCCATCGAAGGGCCTTGGTCTCGTTGTTCATGATGATTGGCATGGGGAGCAAATGGTTCAAAACGGCTCGGCGAGTGATCTCGGCATAGTGCCGGAAGGCTTCCTCGGAATGGGCATGGGCATCGCTCCTGTAGAACCTGTCTGCGAATGCAGCACCATGCTTGTTGGTGAACCGCACCAAGTCGACATGGAGCTTCTGACGGCTCTTGATATGAGCGTGCAGCTGGGAGGTCGAAGATCCCTGCATCAGCGCCATGGAGTGACGGTGCGACGCCAGGTGGATGTCCAGAAAGTTGGTGTGGTCGCAGCCAAGCACGTTGCAGACTGGATGCCAAGCTTCCTCCAGGCGATTCACTGTGTGATCCAATGAGGCATTCGCAGTGTGCTCCGCCAAGATCTGGTGTGTGGAGCGGGTGGCATGGTGCATGGCCAAAGACACGGCCGACGTCTGCGACGAATCACTCTGGAGCAAAGAGGCAGAATGATCATGGGAATGATCGTTCTCATCGCACACGAACTCTCTCGGAATGTCAAAGTCTGCACCGATCTCCGTTGGGTCCTCCGATCCGAGACCATACTTGATGGCTTCCCAGATGATCGTGTCGAAGCGCGTCACCTGCTCCAGAATGGAAGCATACGCTTCCGCTGGCATGTATTTGGGAACGTCCCGAGAGACCAGGCACACGGCAATATCAATGCAACTCGGGATGTATATCTCTGCATGGAATGGGCAGTAGCGTGAGGCGTTCTCACCCAGGACCTCGTGAAGGACCTCAAAGAACCCCTGGACCTTGTCATAAAGCATCAGAAGATCTTGATGAGGATCCACGCCAAAGTAATAAGTGAGGTTCGCGTTGTGGGGTCTGTCTCTAGAGTTGATCAAGCCGGAGTAGTTTGAGAGGTTGGTCAGAGCCAGAGACAAGGCCATCGATAAGTCTGCATGCGGCCCATACTTTTTGATCGGATCAGGCCCTTCCGAAGCAATGTCCACATCAGTCCACTCCTGATCACTGGTGGGGTCGCCCTTGAACTTGTATGAGGTGCCTATATGGCAAGCCAGGCATAGCAGCACCGGCAGCAATTGCTTCATTATACAATCTTAGATGGTGCGCATAGGGCGCGACAGATGTGGCTGAGCCTGGCGGCTGGTGGCGCTGCCGGCAAGCGAAGTTTCTGGTACGTAGTACAAAGACTCTGTCAGGATTTCCATCCTCTTTCAGCTACTCTTTACAGGCAGACTGATCTGGTACATCCTGCAAAGAAAAACTCTCTTGCATCGACACCCTCGTGACTTTCAAACTTCGTCTCAGCTTGCTGCTCTGTCAGAACTCGCTCCACTTTGCAAAGCCGAGCTGGCGACCTCTACAGCTTGTCCGACGAGGCGCAGCTGAAGCATGGATCCCGATCCTGGCACGGGTTGGACTCTAGATGCTGGTAAAAAGCGAGACAAGAAGCCTTCTTCCCCAGCTGAGAAGGCAAGTGCCCCCTGCTTCTCAAGCGATGCTTGCTGCCTCCTTTTTGTCTTGGTTGATATACGGAAAGACGCATGTCCTTGACCTTGTCTACCTTGAGGTTTACACTTCCAGCTTGAAGTCTTAACCTTGGCTTGTGAAAGGGGTATACCATGACCAAAGGCATCAAGCCAATCGCGGGAAGCGTGGGGTGGAGACACAGCAGTAGTGGCATTCAAGGAAATGTCTAGTACCTCGTCGGACATCAACATGATGAAGTCAAATCGCGCCAAGTCCAAGAGCTCCAACTTTAAAACTGAAAAAGATACGATGCCTGGCAAGAACATCTACAACAAAATATACTGCAAACTGAAGAAGTCCCATGCGATGAGAACAGGATGTGCCCTGGCACCAGGGCTTGACTTTCATACCGCAACGCATCCAGAACACTTTTGCATCGACCCTTGTGACTCTCGAAGTTCATCCCAACCTGATATGCTGTCAGAACTTGCTCCGCTTTGCAAAACGGTGTTTTCGACCTTTACAGCTCGCGTGGCCAATTCCCCGAGGTCTGGCAGACGAGGTCGCAAGATGAGTGGTCATGCGTGAATTACAAGCGAAGTCACATGCCGAGTTACAGGCGTTCTTTGTATCAAAACAAGCCAAGCAAACAAAGCCGTTGACTGTTCAAGCACCATCCATCACATGCCTTGTCAGAAGTGCCCAGCGGTGGTACTATGCGAGTCTCTGAAAGCAAAAAAGTCCGTGGGGTGACGCAGATAGAAGATTGCAAAATTCAGAAGGTTTCCCTGGTGGCATTTCGGCATTTGTGGTGCCATCACGTGGTCGCACTGTATCAGGTCCTCGCCGCCTCACAATTTCTTCCTTGGATCTATAAAGGAGACCCTACAGTCTTTTCATGCCCCATAGATAGACATACGTGGTCATACATGTACGCATGTATCCGAAGGGCCCCCAAAGGCCCGCCGTTTCAAAAAACCCTTGGAGTTCCTCCAAATTCTGGGCCCATCAGTAACCCAAGGCACTGTAGAACAACCTAAAATCTAGACCGAATCCCAAAACCCTACACCCCAAAGCCTACAGTCGAAAGCATTTTAAACCTGAACCCTGAAGAACCTCAATCCTAGACTCCCAATCCACAGGTCAAAGAGGCAATAACAGGTGGGGACTGAGGGGCAGGTCAGTCTTCAGGATTATGTAACGCTGATTGTAACAAGCTTCCAACTAAGGAGCTTCAAAATCCCTACCCGCCACATGAAACATGACCCCCAATATACTAAGGCTACTCTACGGAGTTTTTTTTTCCGCTTGGAGTGTTTGGTGTGTGTTGCGTTAAGTGAAGGATTCTTCAGGCCAAAATAGGAATCAAGGGTCTTCCGATGAACCCTACCAAACCCCAGGGCTCAAATGAACGGAAAGGGCAGGCTACTCAGCTCTCGTTATAATAGACGGAATACACGGCAATGATATTGGTAAGCGTTCCTACTTCTACTGGGTTGCTGTTAAGGAACTTGCTTGAAATTAGCATATGATGGGTATGTAGTACATACTAGTAAATAACGGGTCTCATTATTTTAATAATTAATTTGCCTTCCTTAACAGCAACCCAGTCTACCGAGGGCCAAGGTCGTTTGATTCACGAGCGAGCAAGACGGATACTGACCCACACCAAATATTACCAACAGGGCTTAGGGGTATTTCCCCCAATAATGTTAAATAGGGGCTTGTAAGCATAATTACCCATATTATAGGAGCCTGAAATGACATACGCGGCTTTCCAAAACTTCGGGGTCCTGTTTTGGGAGCCCGTGACAGAAGGATCTTCGTCATGTCGCGTCAACACAGGGGATCCGTCTTCTGAAACTATGCAACCCTAAACCCCAAACCCTAAACCCCATTGTTCTTCCTGTGTAATTTTCCCCTGAATGAAACATGAACTCTTTCTAGGCCCCTGTCTCGACAAAGTGGGCTGGCAACTGCAAATGGGGTTTGCCACAGTGTTTCTGGTTCTTAAGGAATGAGGGACTGTATAGTGTTTAGGGCCTAGGGCTTAGGGTGGGGAATAAGGGAACATATTCTACAGGTATTATTACATTCCCATATTCCCTACTAAGAACCAGTAAGCAGTGTAAGCGGCATCACCCAGCCTGAAGCGTGGGGCATCGCGGCATCGCCACCAAGTCCTTGAATGCGAACAGTTCTGAGATCGCTTGATTGGCATGCTCAAACGGCAAGCGGCAATATGCAGTGCAACATCTTCTGCCGGATGCACATGTGTGTGACAATTACTGTACGTTTTACCACAACAACACAGCTTAGTGGCAAGCCCTTGTTATCTTGAAGTACAGGCATGAGTTCGGGCGCCAAGGATCGGCAGACTCCGAGACTCCACGCTGAGATTCGCGCATCGTGGATCTGCCTGCTTTCAACTGCACCAAAGGCGTCCAAAGGTGTCCAAAAGGTGTCCAAAGGTGTCCAAAGGTGTCCAAAGGTGTCCAAAGGTGTCGGAAGACACAATAACTGGGTTGCTGGTAAGGAGCATAAATCAAGTTAATAGAATACGGAAACCCCATGGTTTACTGTATATACTCAGAATATGGCAACTTCAATTAAGTTCCCCAACAACAGCCCAAATAACATCGGCAGGTCAGCTCACAAGCCTTCGAACGGTGTTTGGGCGCATGTTCTCCCTCACAGTGCTTGCCTTGTGAAATTGGGGATGCACAGTTGACGTGCCCCTGGACCTCAGTACTGCGAGCATGTTCAAGCACAGATGCAGCCACATTCTTGCGACCAATGGCATGCATGCTCCATGAAGGTCAACGTATTGTATTGCGTGCGAAGCTTTGGTTTTACGCCAGCCCGGTTCAAACTTGTTTTCGGGAAAGCCCTGGGCGCGCTCAAGACATCTCAAGACTCCAGTGGTTAGGGTTGCAAAGTGACAAGTCATGTCGAAACCCTAAACCCCACGGACTAGACTTGTCTTAGGCGAACCCAGGGCTTTCCAGCTTCTCAAGCTGTGCCCAACAAAGCTGCCCCCCTCGGGCCAAACTGCCAACATATCTGAGTTTTTGAAACTCATGCACATTGCATTGCGGAATGTAGTAGCTGAAAGTTAAAATGTTGAAGTTTCTGAAACTTGTGGGCCCTTTTGGGATACACATTGCCTTGCGGAACGTAGTATTTGACAGCTTTCGGTATGAAGCCCTAATTTTGGAAACTACCCAGTCATTGTGCTTGCCTTAACTGCCAGAAATTCTTGCGTCACAGGATACTTAGTTTGTTCTCCCCTCAAGCCCGCGTGACACCTATCTGCTCATGCTAGCTTGGGAAAATGAGCAATGAGCTACAGGGACTATGGGGTTCTGGAAGGACTGCCATTATGGCATTGGGGAAATAAATGCCAGGCTCTCAAGTTTTTTTAAACTTGTGCCACGCAGCGGTGTACCCCTTCGGGGACAAACTGCTGGCAACATGAAGTTTGCGATTCAGCTGTAGTCAACTACTACTTGAAAAGCTGAAAAGCTGACTTCGGTTTTCCATGAACCTCTCCAACGCCTCTTCGACAGTATCTGCATCTACATTGAGGACGAACTCCTGGAGCACACCTCGTGCCCATGCAAAAACGGAAACGAAGGCTGAGACAAAGAGGCCCGTCCTCAGATTCTCGGTCACGGCAATGCCAAAGAATCCTCAGCCATGCGGGTTAAGGGTTTAGGGCTCAGGGCCCAGGATGTCTGCATCTCTTAGGTGGACACCCACCCTGCAACAGTGGAATATAAGAGGACTCTACTGCAATCACTTCTATCCCAGGTGGACCCCCCTCCCAGTAATCGTGATCATGAGGGATATTTGTAATGATATTAGGTTCCTTTTATGTGCCTATTCCACCACTATTACAAGGCGGGGGTCCACGTAAGGAATACAACAGGAACCTAACGTAATAACTATTATCCCTCCTAGCCACTATTCCCCCACCTTGTGCATCCTAGTGCCTGAACATGGTGTTGGCAAGTCAGGAGTTTAGGGTTTTGGATTTAGAGTTTGGGGGTTTCGGGTTTAAGGATCACGTGGAAAATACAATCCGAAATGGGATCGAAGCTGCATTGAAGCGATGATTTGTTGGGAGTTTCGCTTTTCACTGCAGCTGCTTCAGACAGCTACAGTCCCCCTTCCATAGATAGAATAGGGTATATGGGGGTCGTATTATAATATACCTTATAAGACATATTCTATTTACATCAGGGGGACTACATGCTGATGAATGATACTGTGTCGCACATTGAGCAGGGGATGCGCCAGCCAAAGGATTTTGATTAAAGGGAAGAAAATGAGAACCCCAAACAGGGCACCCCAAGAATATCGGGGGAATATAATGAGTACAAGGACCCTAGTAAGTATTTTCCAGCTCTATTCCTACTATATTCTTGGTATTCCCATTTGTCTCCCTTTATTGATGAAATTGGGGTTTAGGGTGTAGGGAAATGCGTACTTCGCTGGGGCGGCGGAATTCCCATAAAAAGCTGAGGATTTGTTTATCGAGCATATCAGTGGAGTTCGGGGGCTCATGTTTGCGCTAGAAGTCGTAGTTTCCATAAATGGGGGACCCCAATGTAGACCCTAAAATGATATAATCCTTAATATAAGGACCCCAAAAAGGTACCCCGATTTTTGAGAATCCTGCAGATAATCAGCCCGAACCTGCCAGTAAAACGTGCCCTTTCTTCGCTTCATCCGCTTGGCATGCTACAGGACGAGGCTCACAGGATCCAAAACCCAAAAACCTAAACCCGAACTCGTCCTGAATCAAACCTTAGCTGGACCTTATTTGGGGCGCGGGAGCCCTGAACCCTAAACCCTGAACTTTAGCCTGAACGCAAAACCTAAAACCCTTAAAGGAACCCTTTAGGGTTAAGGGTTTAGGGTTTAGGCTAAAACCCTAAACCAGGTAAGGGGAGGGGAAGAATGCCATGAAAGACACCTGAGGTTTGGGGTTCAGGGCTTACAGCCTAGGATCTCTGAGCAGGGGGGTCGGCCTCCAGCTTCTTCTGCAAAGCACTCCTTGCTGGCTGTCAGTAGGGAAGGGAAAAGAAATGGAAGCCACATGAAAACTCCCTAGATGGGGTTACATAGGGTTTAGGGTCTAGGGTTCAGGGTCTAAACTCCTTAAAAGGGGAGTTATATGGGGGATTATATCCGGGCGCATTGTAGGCGTTACTATGGAGGAAACTAGGAGGTTACACAATGCCTCACATTAAGCCACCACCAAAAGGTTTGAGGTTGTTATTAGACAAATTGGAAACTGCGGCTAAATAAGGATTGATTTGAGTACAAGGTGGAGGATTGAAGCAATGGAAGAGCAAATGCAAGCCGCATGGCTTCGGGCGCAGGTTTTAGGGTTTAGGGTTGAGGAAGTGGAATGGAAACTACTATATCCTTACAGATAATGCAGGGTCTACTATAGTGCCTTTCTTTTCCCTAAACCCTAAACCCTAAACCCTGAACCCTAAACCCTAAACCCTGAACCCTAAACCCTAAAACCCTAAGCCCCTAAACCCGAAGCCCCTAAACCCCTAAACCCCAAGCCCCTAAACCCTAAAACCCTAAACCCTAAACCCTAGACCCTAAAACCCTAAACCCTAGACCCTAATTCTCGACTAACAACGAGCAAGGCGCAGCCTCAGCGATGCTGTGCTTGTGCGCTGCTTATCCTGGGCTGCTCTGAAGGAACGTGAAGTAGGTTACTATGACACGGGCAGGTTTAGGGTTTGGGGTTCAGGGCTTACGGCTTAAGGAACGTGAAGTAAGTTACTGTGATACGGGCATACAGAGGTTTAGGGTTTAGGGACTTGAAGAAAGTTACGATAACACGGGCACATAGAGCTTTAGGGTTAAGGGTTAAGGCACTTGAAGTTACTATGATACGTGCATAGAGAGTATATAGGAATATACAAGGTTTAGGGTTACTATATTAAGTACACCCTATGATTTATCATATACCCATATCATGGAAACTTAATCTGAGTTCCCTAAACCCTAAACCCAACAGCAACCCAGTATCCTCCGACAACGTGAGCGTGATGTTGGCGTCGGACAGAGCTCGCACCTCCAAAGCAGAGATGGAGTTGACCTGAGCATTGTCAAAAAGAAAACGTTGTAGGGCTACGAAAAAAAATAGTGCATTGGGAACTCAAGTCTGGAATGGAGAATCAAAGAAAATCGAACATGAAATGGGCATGGGTCATCGTATCATAGGATGCTTTTGGGTCGGTTTTGTGCCTGTGGGAGACCCCCTGGTTTTGCGAGACACTCGCCTCAATGCCATACTCGAAGATCTGCCACATCAGCGGCCAGAGCCCGAACGATGCCAAATAGACAAGCCTTGGTTAAGTGGAGGATTTTGATGGGGTTATGTAAGGCTACATCGGGAATATGTATGTATATATATATATAAAGGGCTCCTTTACAGGAATTATGGGGGACATCTAGGGTATAGGGTTTAGGAATTTTACCCAAAAACGGAGAATCAAATGGAAAAGCAAAGGAACAGGAAATGAAGGCTGGTGTTTATAGGACATAAAGGGTTTAGGGTCTACTGAGTGGGACCCTGGGGTTACCTTGGGAACCTACTTGCAAAGGGCGTTGGTCGGCTTGAAAAGGGAAGCCCCACACCCTGAACCACCTAACTCAGAAGTCCCTCAAAACAAGCCCTTGTGCTAATTTAGGGTTTAGCGCCCCTACTAAAAATCAAAAACTTACACTGCCCTGATATGCAATAGAGGAAGCACGACAGTTCGAAAGCGCAAAAAATATGTAGCAAAATGCCACCAAAACGCACAAAGCCCCAAGTGAGCAAGTTGAACCGCAGGATTGCGTCCAGAAGAGCCAGCATGAAGAAGACAGCAAGGAGGCATGCCACCATGACCCCAGAGCTTTCCTGGCTCGTACTTGGGTTCAGGGTTTAGAAATCCTTTATGAACAGGTCCGTCGTAGACAACAAGAGTAACATTTTTTGGTGTTGAACCAAGTAAGATTATATTCTGTGTATGTAATACTATACTCAAAAGGAGGGAATAATCTGAACTCTAGATTGGGTTCCACAGTATCCCCAAATAACACTTGGGCTTTAGGGTTTAGGGTTTGGGGTTTAGGGGTTTGGGGGTAGGGCTACTCATAAAGGATTTGCAAGAAGTATCCCAAATTGCCACCCAGCTTCAACTTCGACGATCTCATTCGCTAGATCAATCTCCTTACTGGGGACTAGTAGGGAATAAGGGAAGATAGTCCCTGTATAATTCCTGTAGAATATATATCCATAATCCCTACTAACCCTAAACCCTGAACCCAATCGATTCCCTTTTTCCCTATTAACCTTAAACCCTAATCCCTAAACTCTAAACAGTAAACCAAACCCCAACCCTTATTCCCTACCAACCCCCAGTGAGTCTCAGTGTATCTCCGAAGGAGCCACCATGCCCGAAGGTCTCGGAGTTGTCGGAGTTCCAAACGACCGCTCTCGCCCAAGACCTGGTAGTTTCCCAATACTTCTTCAGGATTTAGGGTTCAGGATTCAGGGTTCAGGTTGTTTTGTTTTTTACAATTTTTACAACTCCTTTTTCCAACCTGCCATCCAGGGTTTAGGGTTTAGGATATTTTTTCTGATCCTTTAAGACGGGGACCCACCGAATCTCCTTGCAATCAACGTGCATCCTTAAGGTCCCTGAGGATCCTTTGCTTTACCTTTTGTGAGCTAGGAATGAAGGGGGGGGATCCTTGCGGTAGTCCCTATATAACCCATTAAAAAAAATTCCCCCTCTACTATATAACACATGATGATGGTTTCCATTCTATGCTCCATTCCTTCATCCCCAACCAAAGGTAGGCCCTAAACCCTAAACCCTGAATAGTAGCTTCCATTTTCTTTTCCATTGACCCCGTAGAACCCATTCCCTCTAACCAAAGGCCAAAAAACCTTACACCCTAAATGATCCCAGTTTCCTTTTCATTTTCCGTGTTCTTTTCCATTTGTTTCTCCATTATTGGTGATAATATCCCCCTGAACCCTAAATTCCCATCCCACCCTAAACCCTAAACCCTGAACCCCAAATTCAAGAAACCCCCACCTTGCTGATGACATCTTCACAAGTACGCTTCTTTTGCACCCGCCACGGGGCCGCCATGATGCCTTCCTGGGTTGCTGCTAAGGATAGGGTTTAGGGTTTAAGGTTTAGGGTTTAGGCTTATGTGGGTTATATAGGTGTATATGGGGTCAAGGAACCTGAACTAAGTTACCGTAATCGTGCTATAGAAAGTTAATTTAAACTCCTTAACAGTAACCCAGCTTCTCGGCAAAAGTCGGGCTCATGGACATCCTGTTGCCCACGCTTACGTGGTAGTTTCCAGAAAGAGGGGGACCCCAATATAGACTCCAATATATGAGCTAGAGTCTAAATTCCTTAAATCCCCCTTAATGAGGCCTATAATGGTCCCATATATAATCCACTATATAACCCGCCTTTAAGGAGTTTAGACTCCAGCTCATGTAACAAGTCTTATTGTAGGGACCCCGAAAAAGCACCCCAAGTTGAAGGAAACCCTTAGATGGGCATGGGGGGGAGCGAGTCATAGGACCCTCAACCCTAAAATCCTACACCCTAAACGCCTGAATCCTAAACCCAGCGTTTTTCTGAGGGGAAAAATCTGAGGATTACCAGACAAGTTGATGCATCCTATGCCTCAATGACCAACTACTGGGTTGCTGTTAAGGAACTTAAATGAAGTTACCATAATATTGGTCTATGGGATATATTTTGTATATAAGGGATATAGGGTATAGGGTTTAGGGATCTAACTTACCATAATATTGGTATATACTAACTAATAGAGTTTCCTTATCATAGTAACGGAATCTAAGTTCCTGAACCGGAACCCAGACCCCTAAACCCTAAACCCTAAACGTCCTTGGGCAGCAGCTCGTCGAGTCGATGTTGGCTACGGGAACTGTACATCTCCGGCCGTGGTGCAAAAGGAGTTGCCGCCGTTGTCACGGAGAATAACAGAACTTGGTGAACATTCCTGGGTTTAGTGTTTAGGGTTTAGGGCATTCCTGGGCTGCTGGTACAGAACTAAAAGTTAAGTTACTATAACCAGGAAACCCCATTGGTTACAATATACCTGTACTACTGGGCTTTTGGCAAGGAACTTAAATTAGATTAATATAACAAGAAAACCCTTTCAGTTACTATTTATCCATACTATGCCTTACTTTAAGCTCCTTAGCAGCAACCCAGATTCTGACGGTAGGCCTCAGCGACCTGCAGTGCCATCATGGCAAACCGAAACCATCCAACTGCCATGATGACCGCAGCAACAGGGGACCGTACACGCCAGAACCAATCATCGCCAAACAATACCAGACGTGCCTTATGCTCCTTCCTGAAGGACAGGTCCCCCATCCCAATGACGAGCAGCACAGCAGAGACCAGCCACAAGAAGACAATCACGTGAAACCGCCAATCTTTCCGCAAGTCTGCCCTCGTTTCTGTTGTGGCACGCATCTTCTCCAGAACTTCTTGCACCTCGCGAGCTCTGCTGTCGTGATCGACAAGATTTTCCTTGAATTTCTTCTTGATCTCCTGAACATCAACATCTGCCCGGTCTCTTTGGTGTTGGAAGATGTGGATAAACAGCAGGGGTAGTTGTATCAGGGCGTTCCGCAGGAAAGAAACCTGCACGTAGCTAACCATAATCAAAGGCGACGTGAACTCGTCTTTTTGTGAAATTTCCTGGGTTGCTGTTGAGGAACTCCAATATAAGCTACTGTAACAAGGAAACCCTGCGAGTTGCAATATAGCCATATGATGGTAACTTAAGTTAAGTAAGTTCCTGAATAGCAAACCAGCTTCCTCCCAGGTGCTCCAACATCTCCACAGGTCGACATGGAATCGGCAACTCTCCAGGAGAATCCAAACCCATCCAATGGAAAGGTAGCACACGTCAAAAGCACGAGACGTGTCCGCCAACAAGTGTTTGCCCTTGTTGGCTCCTCTTTCCTTGAAAGGATTGGTCTTGATGAAGTACTTCCCAAACAGGTACATGAAGGCAGGGACACACAGGATTGGAAAAACTGTGAAGAAGGCAGCCAGACAATCAAACGCCACAGCCATCCAGAGCTGCTGGACTTGCCGAAGAGTAGCAGTACACTCGACCTGCCACACTGCTTGGAGATGAGGGGTTTAGGGTTTGGAGGAATTCCCTTCCATGGGATTGGACGCAAAAACCTGAACCCTAAATCCCGAATCCTGACAGCTCCTCACGCAATCCCCGCAGAATCTGGGTGAAGGATTTAGGTTGGCTCCACAATGTTTTTGCAATCCCCAGGAAATCGGAGTGTTTTGGGAATAGCCCCGGAAGCACAAGCGACGGTCACTCGCGCGAGTCCACGGGCTCTGTTGGCATTTCTCGGGAGCCCTCACGGCCGACCCCATACTTGGAGGGTCAGGGGACTAAATATGTAGGATAGGAATGGGCATAACTAGGGTTACTACATAACTTATAGGTGTTATTAAATAACTCAGTAAGGCGCCCAGGGCCTCCAAGCAAACTGCATGAGGGACCTATCCCGATTCAGGACATATAACGTATCTAACCCTATATTCCCTTTATTCCCTATATTTCCTTATATAACCCTTTATAACCCTATATTCCCTATATTCCCTCATATAACCCTATATAACCGTATATAACCCTATATTCCCTAAAACGTTTAGACACTGGTAGCCAGGCCTCGTGTGTATGCTCACTGATGTTGTTCCATATGTCCTTCCACGCGGTTTAGGGTTTAGGGTTCCGCAAAATGAGGGGTCCCCCTTAGAGGGTTATGGAGGGATAGATTAGGGATTTAGGGTTTAGGATTTAGGGAGTAGTAAGACATTAAATGGCGGCCAGCAGTGTAGAGGTCATAGTTGAGCAAAAAAAAAGTTCGAAACCCAGCAGGGTTTGGGGTTCAGGCCTTACTTGCGGCATCGACTTTCCAGTGCGCAAGCCATGTTTCCAGCAAAGCCTTATACGAGTTGGGGAAACAGTTTTGGCAATCTCCAGGAGCTTGCAAGCTTCACCAAGCAAGCAGACAACAAACGAAAGCTTCCCCGAATGGACCCCAATATAGACCCCCAAATACCCTATTCCTTATTCTGGGGATCCCAAGTTAGGGAAATCCGAAATCCTACATAACCCTATATAACCCTGTATAACCCTGTATACTCCTATAAAAACCCCCTATGAACCCACACATGGCACCCTAAACCCTAAACCCTAAACCCTAACCCTAAAACGTTGGACAGAAATCGGACTGGCCGACGACTTATCATGCAGGAAAAAGCAGTGCGTAAACACCAAGCGCGGTTTAGGGTTTAGGGTTTTCTAGACTGTAGAAGTCCTAGATTCATGGATACTTTGGGTCATTCCCCCTTACAGTAACTGTTACCCACAATGGGTTATACGAGTTATAAGAACCCCCTTAATAAGGCCCCTTTAAGGACAGTTACTGGGAGGGGGAATGACCCAATGGATACTCCAAGTGTCTCCCAGTGGCAAGAACTGCTGGCATCATCACATTTCGGGGCTTTGCGGCGTTTAGGGTTTAGGGTTTAGGGTAATGTAATCATGCCCAATGCAACATTGGGTCCAATCTCTCAAACCACGCGGAAATGCAGTAGCGACAACAAACTGAAACCCTAGACCCAGAACCCTACACTCTACATAAGACGAGCTCCTATGCGCTCTTCATTACTATATTACAACACTACGATTTTACTATATTACGATATTACTGTATTACTATTTTATTGTATTACTATATTACTATATTACGATATTACTACATTAAGATATTACTGCATTGCTATAATACTATATTACTATATAAGTATCTTACTCCGAATAGACCTACTATCATTTCAATCCCAAGGGCTCCTTCACGGGCTCCTTCACGGGCTCCTTCACTGCTTTGCACCTCAAAGATTTGCAGGTTCTGCGAACTGCGCGGAGCTCCGGTACCTTACCAGACAAAGCACAGGTCGGTAATCGCAGGGGATGCGCGTTATGAAGCTGGGCTAGCCCTACTAATGATGAAATGTCCATGTTATCCCAGCTGAGGTAACCTTCTTAACAGCAAGCCAGGAATTGCTGCAAAAGCGGCAGTCATGTGGGAGCACATCTTGCCCACTAACCTTGCTGCGAGTTGCCCCGAATGCTGCAGACAATACGCATGGAACAAAGATGGTCATCTCACTACACTACTACATTACGAATTAACTATATCATTATGTTACTATATGACTATATGTACTCTATTTACTATGTTGTATTTACCAATTTCACTATATTTACTATATTTGCTATATTTAGTATATTTACTGTATTTACTATATTAACTATATTAACTACATTAACTATATTACTATATTACTATGTTGCTACATTGCTATACTACTATTTTGCTAGGCTATCATTTTACTATGTTCTCATGATACTACATAGTGTGGTGACGAGGCACTCCAGTCCAAAGGCTTCGAGGCGACACTTTGCCATTGATGTGCATTCAGGATCCGCCTTCACACATTAGGGTTTGTGATGGTTTAGGGTTTAGGGTTTAGGGTTTGTGATGGTTTAGGGTTTAGGGTTTAGGGTTTAGGGTTTGTGAGGGTTTAGGGCTGTAAAAATAAGACTATATGACGACCCTAATATAGTAACTGTTATCCCTTATACTCACTATTGCAGGTTGGGGGGTCCACCTAGTATAGACGCCTGGCAAAAGGATAGATGTCCTTGGAGGGCCGCATGTGGAAATCCATGTTAGGTTGGCCGAGGGTAGGGTTTTGGGTTCCGTCTTTTTCTATTCTCCTATATATCCCTATGCATACACCTATAGAATCCATTTATTTCCCTATGTAACTCCCTGAATAGTTTCCGGATGAGCCATAATCTAAACTCCTGGTCTCCCCCTTAGTAACCCTACCTACACAGTAATAGTCTCCTATATAATGCCCTATCTGACCCCCTTTAAGGCGTGTAGACACTAGCTCATGTAACCCCTAGCCGTGGCCTCACTAGGCTGATGGGCACCAGACTGTCGGCACAGATGCTCTGCCTCGCCTGAACAGAAGATGTTGGGGTTTGGGTTTTGGGGCTAAGGGTGTAGTGTTGGAGGTTCAGGACTTTTGCCATCTTTCTGGGAGTGTTTAGGGCTTAGGGTTTAAGATTTCAGGTTCAGGGTCTAGGGTTTAGGGTTTGAGGGCTTGGGTTCAGTTATGGGCTGCCTGACCACCGCAATGCTGGGACAACCAGGTTCTCCCTGAAGTAGGCTCATATTGGATTAGCTCATTAAGGGAGAACGTTGGGTTTATAGGAAACCGACGATTTCGGGTCTTCGCTCAGGGCTCAGGACTTCAGATTTCGAGTTTAGGGTTTAGGGTTCAACGGTTCAAATGCTTGGGTTTTGAGTTTGGGCCAAAACCTTAAACACTAAACCCTTTACCCTGGGTTTGGGGTGTTGGGTCTCCGGCGAGCCTGACTCTGCAGGAGTCATGGCGACATCGCAAGGGCCAAAGCCACCTTCCTACGGATCCAACTGACAATGACTAACGTCAGCGTGGTCCTAGCTAAACACCACAATTGAAAAACTTTCGAAAAAATAAGCCAGCAATCCAACAAAAGTGCAGTATGGTAGTAATCAACTGGGATCTTCATGCCGTGGTCTTGCGCAAAATGGCTGCGAACCCGCAACGCTCATTGCAGGGCGCCTGCAAACACTTTGGATCTAGAACGGCTCAGCGTACTAGTTCTTAGGAAGGAATTAGGGAATATCATCCCTATAATGATATATCTCCCATACAACACACCCTTATTCCCTGCTAAGTCCAGCAAGTCATGATCAGGCCGCAACCTTCCTGCACCGCTGTGTGGCCTGGGGGCCATGCACACTGCGGAATCACGCTTCGATTTCCTGTCCAAGTAGGGATTTGAATTTGCCAGTTTTCCCAAAATTAGGGGTGGGGTTTAGGGGTTTAGGGTTTAGGCTTTTTTTGGGATGCTTATTATGAGGACTATAGTATATGAGGGCTTATATAGGGGGACCGCAGTTTAGGAGAGTCGGCTTGGCCTTCCGTGCAAACTTATCGTCCCCTGAAGTAGAGCTCAGGTAGAGAGAATATGGGGTTAAGGGTTGAGGGTTTTTTTGGTTCAAGGTCTTTGGGGTATCGGGTTTAGGGTACAATGAAAGCCTGTCTACCTTCACACCGTGCGTTACTTTTATGCAGATGGTACAAGATGATAGCCAAGTAAACCATAGTTGTAGCTTGGCACTTTTGTCTATACTGCGGGCGGCCCTAAGGCGTAAACCAAAAACCCAAAGCCTACACCCTAAAGGCCACCAAACCCTTAACATAGGGGCTATATATGGATAATGGAAAATAAAATGGAAACTACTATGATATAAGTGAAATAAAACAATAGGGTATACCCTAAAAGTCCCCAAACCCTCAACCAAGTTTTTCTTGCAACTGTTGGCGCCTCCTTTCCAGGGCCTTCACCTCGCTACAAAGACCCGCTGTTACGGTTTGGGGTTTAGGGTTTAGGGTTTAGGGTTTAGGGTTTAGGGTTGGGGGTTGGAGTTTCAGGTTGAACGTTGGAATTTAGGGCTTGGGGTTGCAGATCTAGGGTTTGGTTTCGGGCTTAGAATGTAGGGTTTTGGTGTAGGGTTGAAGGCTTTTTGGGTTTGAGTTAGGTCCTGGAGGTTGAGATGAGAAGCGTCCACGAGAACTAACTTAAGATGTCCGGGATTTCAAGCGACAAGGTTTTTGAGGTCTGGAATTCGGGATTAAGGGCTTGATGTCTAGGATTCAGGCTGGGTCCTGAGAAGGGGCATTCTGATTGAGGGTCGAGGCCGTGGTAGGGTTTAGGATTTTGGTTAAAGGTTCTTTAAGCTTTCGTATCTAGGGCTAGAGGTGTGAGATTTCACCTAGATTGTGCCTGTAATACCTGAGGACCTAGAAGCTCATTCGGTGAAAATGAGATTACTGCGCGACAGCTAGTCGCCAAGGTTTTGAAAATGAGAACTCTACTTCATAAGCCCAAGCTGCTGTTGGCAGAGGCACAACAATAGCCGTAGGCTGTGGTGCCTATGTGTGCCTATTGATAAACGCACCAATCTTTTAGTTCACATAAAGGCATCCCCATTTTTAGGCACCCAAGACTGTCGTGCTTTCCCTTTTTTTCAGGATTTACCGTGGAGTGCTGCTTGGTGGTGAAGGGTTCTTCTGTTGACTTTTACCCACACGCAACATGCAACCCGCTTTAGTCTTGAGCCTTGCCTATCAAGGGGCCGAGCCTCTGAACCCTACGTCAAGGTTCAGAATAGTCTGTTCCTCAAGGTTTGAACTTCGGATTTTTGGATTTTGCTTGCACCTTCGTGGTTGCTGTATCCAGGCGCTCGGCCTTCTTCGTGACGTCATCAAACTAAGCCCTGAACACCAAGCAAGAAGGTAGGGTCCGTGAAACGGACATCCTTGATGCGTTGCCTTAGGGTAAGGCACCATCTTATACGATCGCAAGGGTACAACCTTTGACCCTTTCGAGGACATCATTTCTACATGGTAAAATGCGCTTGCCTTGCGGGGGCCTAACTAATTACTGGCATCATGTTGTGGTCTGTTTCATGTAGCTATCCCACGATGCTGCAAATGGTCAGCGGCACCCTTTGGCCTATAATGACTGCTTATGTGGGTATTTCGCAAAACAACGCTACAATTCGCCATAGTACCCCTTACAGGGGACCCCTTCCCCTCATTTCCCTACACTTCTCTCCGCTATACATCCGCAGGATCGCTTAGGGATGTACAGAAAGCTACGGAAACCCCCACATGCCCAGCTTGCCTCGTCACCGTTGACCGGCTCCCCATGCCTGCCCAGCAGTATGTTATATAACGTTTATACCGCCCCAACTTCCATTTCGGTGTCCATTTTCTTGTCCATTGAAGAACACAGGTGCAAAGATAGAACGAGCAAAGCTGGCAAGAAGGTAGCATACTGCAAGGGGCTTCAAGCAACGGAGTTTACATCTCAGCACACACAGCTGATTAAATATCATGATGACATGACCGTGTTCTTGCCTGCTTTCCTCCAGCTTTGAATCTGGTACAGTCATGTCAAAACTCACAGGGGCGCAACCAGCAGCATGCACACATGCCATCTCAGTCTGCAGTTACAGGATGCCATTTCTTTGAAGTTCAGCCCCCTGCCTTGGTCCCAATCTGGAGGAATCAGTGCAATGCAAACTGCGCAACTCAGATGTCCCATCCAAGCACTTTCATTTGTGTGCTGGGTGGATGGTCTCCGGCTAACTGTTGGCAAGCATAATATCGTTGTCCTGAAGTTGGAAGTGGAATGGAAGAAGGATCGACATCAAACATGGTGCTGCTTGTGGCCGAAACGGCTTCACACCGAATAATAGCACGCAGAGACAACAAACATGTTTGGAGACTACCATGTTTGCACCTTAAACATAGGGATGAAGATAAAATAGACCATGTTGGTGCATTGCATGCCGCCAAAATGAACCGCACTTCTCCTCTTCAGCCTGCACAGCCACAATCTTGCCAGAAGAATCTGTTTCTTTGCCTCTCTCAAAATCCTGCCTTACAAAAGAGACGAAATGACAGTTTGACAGCGAATCCCAACACGGCTCATCAAGATGATAATTGACAACCTGCAAACAAAACGGAGGGACTACAGCAGAAAGCGTTGATCTTACACCTCAACTCCAACCATGACGGTCCTGAGTTTGTCCTAATAGCAAAGCCTGGGTTTCCCTGCTGTTTTGCCGCACGCTTTGCATGTTCCAAGTGACTTGCCTTCTGCTCCGCAAGACTCAGTCACCATTTCCAGGGCCTGAGCGCATTACTACTCCCGGCTTAGGATTTACGATTTAGGGTTTAGGGTTCCCATGGCTGTGGACCAGGACTATATTACCGACCCTGCTTTAATGTGACACCAAAATGTACCAAAGCAGCCCTTTATGAACCAAGGTAATCTCTAAGCCCTTGCTCAGGATACCTCCACTACGTAACCCTGAAAGGTACCTCCAACATGTGCTGAAAATCCTTAATCTATTACAATGTAATAACTATCTAAATGTCTAAAGAGCTCAAGATTACGACC